CCGCCGAAACCGCTCGCGCAGCTGGTGACGAGTAGCGCGGATCCAGGGGATCAAAACACCGCTGACGTCCGCCTTGCAGCGCAAGGGGTAGACCGTGGTGTAGCGCGTGTAGTCGTCAACTACCAGCAGGAAGTAGCGCTCCTGGTCCGTCCCACGGACGGGGGCCGGGCCCCACACGTCCATGTGGAGAGTCTGCAGAGGAGCAGTGGTCGGAGAAAACGAGGAGGAGTGAGGAGCGGCACGCTGCCGCCCCTCGACGCAGGGAAGGCACGGCGAGGCAAGCGAGCGTGGGAGGGGGGGCAGAGACCTGGGAAGGCCAGAGACAAGGAGACGAGAGTGCATGCTGCGTAGACGCGGCAGAGAGGGGTGACCGAGGCGGTGGTGCCAGAGGAGAGTCTGGTGGGAGAGTACCCGACACGAGCACGACGCAACGAGCTGACCAGACGCAGACACCTGACTAGACGCAGCCACCTGACCTGACGCAGCCACCTGTGCAGACGCAGTGGTCAAGGTGTATAGACTGGAACTAGGCTGCCGAGTGAACGTAGCAAGGTGACGGCCAGTCCGGGAGCACGTACAGATCGCCACACGCTGCCCTCCAGGAGTAAAGGTATCAACCCAGAAATCCTGAAGGACTGCGTTGCTCACCAAGTTCGTCGAGAACGAGGGGAGGTGGAGACCTGAAAGAACTCCGGAGGGGACTGCCGGACACGGGAGGACAGTGGAGGCTCGTGCAACGACAGGGCCCCCAGAGGGGTCAGCAAGTGAGACCGTGACTGGTGCAGCAAGCAGTGTGACTGTGGTGCAATCACGAAAGAAGCAACGAGACGCACCAAAGTCAAGTGTGAAAGTGTGCAAGGCCTCAGCTGAGGCAGCAGACTCACTAGCAGCAGACTCACTAGCACCTGTGGCAGCAGACGCACTAGCACCTAGAGCGGCTGCAGACTCACTAGCACCTAGAGCGGCAGCAGACTCACTATCAGCGCAAGGCACACACGAGGCCGAAGCAACGGTACTCCGTGCCCTCAGCACTAATAACATCCACATACATAGCATAGAGTCCCTGGTTGTTAGCAGCAAAGTCAAGAGCAAACACATCTTCTCCCTTTGCTATCAGTCCCAGCCAGTTGGGGATAGCCTGCTCATCACCATAATCTGCCACCCAGGCATCCTCGAGACGGCCGAAGCAACGGTACTCCGTGTGCCCAGTCTTCCCGCAGGTCTGACCCTTCAGGAGGCCCGTGCGCTTGACATAGGAGCATCGAGAAGAGCCCCCAGGGGAACCACGCTAGACAACCAACTCACGAAGCTGCTAAGGGGTGGGGTTGTTCGGGAGGCGTGGCAGCTACGGACCACTCCCATAACCTCCACCGCCACGAGCTGAGCCCCCATAGCCTCCACCCCTGCCGGCTCCACCCCGACTGCCTCCACCACCCCCGCCGCCTCCACCAGGCCCGCCGCCTCCACCACCCCGGCCACCTCCACCACCCCCGCCACCTCCACCGCCTCCACCTCCGGTGCCACCTCCACCGCCTCCACCCCCACCACCACCACCCCCGCTACCACCACCGCTAGCGCCACCCCCGCCTCCCTTACCCCCCTTGCCCTTGCCGCTGCGGCGCCTATCACTAGGGGCAGACGCATCGCCGACTTCTTCAGCACCAAGGAGGTCAACAGCAGCAGCAGTGTCAACTGAGGGGATGAGAGGGGAGGGAGCACACCCTTCAAAGAAGGGGGAGCGGGGAGTGCCACGAGAGGCAGCGACAGCGACAGTACTGGTCTCAGCCTCGAGAAGGTACTTCTCCAGCGAGGCAAGCGTGAGCTCAGTGGGGTCAAGGGCGAGAAAGTGGTCCCTAACTGTGCGGAGGGAGTCCGGGAGTCGGGTGACAAGGAAGTACAGGGTGATGTAAAGCGGGGGGGGGGGTTCTCTTTGAGGAAGGCCGACTTGAGAGCGGCGCGGTAGCGAGTCTCACTAGAGCGGAGGTGGGTCATGAGGTCAGCAACAGTGCGGAAATCCCAGAGCTCAAAAAAGAGGTACGGCAGAATGAGGCGGCCTACGGCAGCAGTAGATGGGGAGGAGTAATGAGCGACAACTGCGTCATAGAGGGCTTTCGCTGTCTTGTGCTGGCCAAAATGGGCTCTCTCAGCTAGCTGGAGGTGATTGCGGACAGCAAGGCGGGCAGTAGCGTCACGTGTGAGCCACTTCGACTGATCTGAGCGGTCGGCTGTAGCAGGTGGGGAGAGGAGGGATCCGGACGTATGCTCTATCAGTGAAACTCCATCCCTAGCCTCGCTCTGCAGGAACAGCTGGAGATCGTCGAGCCAAATGTCAAAGCTAATCGGGCGACCCTCCGCATCAAAGCTAAGAACCGAGATGGTGGCCATAGTGGCAGGAGCAGCAGCAGCAGCAGTGGTGCCAACAGTGGCAGTAACAGCAACAGCAGCAGTAGCAGCAGCAGCAGCAGCAGCAGCAGCAGCAGTAGGGCAGTGCGGCTCGGTAGGGGCAGGACAGCGCGGCTCGGGCAGGGCGGCGCGGCGCGGCGCGGCTCGGGCAGGGCGGCGCGGCGCGGCTCGGGCAGGGCGGCGCGGCACGGCGCAGCGCGGCAGGGCACAGCGCAGCAGCGTGTGCGGCAGCAGCAGCTCAGGCGCAGCAGCAGCAGCAGCAGCAGCGTAGCGCGAGCGGCAGCAGCAGCTCAGGCGCAGCAGCAGCTCAGGCGCAGCAGCAACAGCGCGGTTGGCAGCAGCTGCGCAGCAGCAGCAGCAGCGCGCGGCGGCGCGGTTGGCAGGGCACAGTGCAGCAGCGCGTGAGGCAGCAGCAGCTCAGGCGCAGCAGCGCGCGGGCTGTTCGCGGGCAGGGCGAGCAGCGCGCGGGCAGCAAATGCAGCGCGCGAGCAGCGGGCGCAGCGTGCAGGCAGGGCGCGCAGCGAGCACGGGCAGCGCGCTTGCAGGCAGCGCGAGCAGGGTAGCGCGACCTGTGCGGGCAGATGGCGCGCGTGCAGCAGGCAGCGCGCTAAGGCAGGCAGCGCGCTAGGGCATGCAGCGCGCGTGGCAGCAGGGCAGCGCGACGCTTTTCGGGCAGGGCAGGACAGCACACGGGCGCTTCGGGCAGGAACAAGCGGAACTATCGGTAGGCCCTAAAAAAAACCTAACAGGTATCCTGCTCTGAAACCATGTCAGAATTATCTGTGCAGGAATGATGAATGACTAGCAACAGGGAGATACAAGTATGAAACCCTAACTGGGGTTGTACTCTATACTGAGCATCTTAATGTAGCCTAGCAGAACTAAGAACATACAAATATGTTTTGACACACCCCCCTAGGCAAACTGAGGGATAGCCAACACAACAGACGGTCACAAGACCAGTCAGGCAAGAGAACAAAACAATGCAACGCCCAGGGTGGATCTCAAGATCACCACTCATTCTGAGCACAAGCAAGCGGCCACAAGGCCAGTTCACATGCAGAGTTATAATAGCAAGGCAGTACACTGATCACAACCTAGCAAGAGGAAACATGCAGGTATAAATATAGATATCAGTGTACAACAAGTGCAAGATCAAGAGACAAGCAGGTGAGGCAGAACGGGCAGAAGCCCAAGAGCAGTGCAAAAACGCGAGGGCACTTATCACAACATCACAACTCTCACCGCCATGGATCCTGCGATACCTTCACTCGCCTCAATGTCACACAATTTCTTGCCTGATTGTTATATTTCTTTAAAGCGACGGTGCACTTTTGGCAGGGTTGGGTTCAGAAGTTTTTGTTTTGAACCAGGCTTGCCAGCGCGAAAGTGTTGGCTGGCGAAAACCAGGATTTCGTGCGGACACTTTTCATCCGCAGTAACTGTTCGCCAGGGTCTTGGGTTTTGGGTGGCAAATGTGCACCGTCGCTTTAAGCTATCGATCCAGTTTGACCAGAGCTTTACGAAGATACCATTATTGTGTTCATACATGGAACATTCGGTCTTCTAATCTGAGTTCAGGGATTGTCAGGTTTCCAACCTCAGGTTCGGCATTGGGTTTGTCATGGCTGCCTAGAAGACTCCTTCACAACGGGGATTGGTTACGGGAACCGGAACCCCCTAGTCTTCTGAATTCCTTATTAACAACATCGGTTTCATCAAGCTTTGACATCATTCATACTGCTACTACAAATGCGCCAGATCATCAAGTTTTCATCAGGGCCGAAGCCAGGGTGTTGGTGCTCAGAAGCTGCTTTCTCTCAGGCTTTCATCGCCTGTCAGCGGGCTTTCATCATCGCACAATGGCCAAAGGAGGTGGTCGCAATGGCAAAGGAGGTGGCAAACAAGGCGGGAAGACGGTTACGACTGGTGAAACTACCCCCCCGTCAAGTACGGAGCACTCCCTGCTGGACAAGAGTCCGCTGGTCTCAACCTCTGCTTTGCCTTCGGAGCTGCAGAAGAAGTCCCTTGATGATGATACCCGCGCATCCTTGTTCGAACGCCTCTCTGCGCTCAAAGTCAACGGGTTGGTGGACAGTAAGACGGAAGGAGTTAAAGTTGACCCACCTCCTCTGCCAATTCCATCGTCGTCCAACGTGAACTCGCCGGATCCACCCGCGGCTCATGTGGAGGAAGGGGTTGGTGGTTTGAACGAAGCAGTTGAAGATGATTGGTGGAACAGTAACTCAGACGATGAGTTTGACCCGGTTGTTGTTAGTCTGTTATCTGCACAAGTCAGCTTCCCAATAACACTGCTAATACCGTTTGAACTAGACGGTGAAGTTCCGAGGACCAAGGCATCGGTTATTGCTTACTTGGATTTCTAGAAGGCTTCATTGACTGCCGACGTCCTTAAGACAACCAAGTTATAGATTCTGCCAGCGACGTATCTGTATAAGAAGAAGTATGGAAGGCTCCAGGTTACTTTCAAACAAGCTCGCGACGCTGACTTCATTTGCATACGGTCGATCGAGCATGACTATGGGAAGGACAAGTCGATTCAGCTGGATTGGCAGCATCTCAAGAATGCGACTTACCTATGTGAACGTCACCTTCATCCGGAGGCGGTGGAAGTGGTCCTGAAGTCGGTCTCGGCCGATGTATCGCCTGATCTGATTCGCATAATGCTTGTTGATGTTCCGCTGCTTATTGGTAAGAAGGGGAAGAGTGCTTTTAACAATGGTGGCGGTTTCCACAGAGTCCAGGACCCTGTCACCGACATGGACACAGACAAAGTGAAAGGCTTGGCGATGCAGCATGAGAATGATGTTTCTCCTTGGCGTCATGCGATCACAGACCCATCGAACAACAGCAAGAGGTTGCTGGTGCACTACATGGCGTTGGCCTGCGACTTCTGCAAAGGACAGCACCTGACACAGTTTCACAACGCATACGTTACTGAGCGCCAAGCCAACATCGGCAAATGGAACCTGGCCGTTAGGAAGGTTCATGAGATCAACGGTATCAATGTGGATTCGCTGCTGCTTTCGCTCTCTGCATTATTTCTTTTCGCTGACCTCGCCGCTGACACTTCACCCCGAATCCCACCTTACAGCTGCCTTGCTGAAATTCACAGCGCTCTTGAAGGGCATTCTCAAAGACCCCGCTATAGTACTCACCTCCACAGGGGGTTCGAGGGAGGACTGGGTGTGTGTCGTCACGGTCTGCGAGAAAGCTCAGGGGACCAATTTTGAGCAAGCATCGACCCATGCTGCGACTCTTCGTCACCAGACCAACCTGGCCAAGCCAGGAGCGGCTACGCGCGCCAGCAAGGGTGCGACCAGCCTCGCTGTCCTCCGCAAGGAGTTTGCCAAGTAGCCTGCTCAAGGGAGTTTCAGACAGAGAAGGGAGATTCAGCTGCAGTCAGGAGGCATCCCAGTGTAGTGCTAGTGGTAGTGTTGCTGGATAGAATGGCTAATAGAGGAGTCTCACCTGTATCAGCAGTAGCTTGCAATCTCACAGCCTGTGGATCCGAAGGGGAAGATGATAAAATGCAGAGGCTGACTAAAAAACAAGGCGGATATCGCTGTTATCACAGACACACGAATTGATGCAGATCATAACTTCGGGACGCAACTTAGGCCGGTTGTATTGGTGGCGGTTGGACCATCAGGAACGGCAGGCGGGGTAGCAGTGGTGAGCTTCATACCTGGTATGGAGCTTAAGGAGTTTTACCCGCATCAGTCGGGAAGGCTGCTGGGGGTGATGGTCAAGTGGGGAGACATTGAGGTAATCCTGGTTGCAGTGTCCTTCCTGCGCAAGCGGGGAGCAGTGGCCAGTTCTACAGAGACTGCCTAGGGCCTCTCATCAGGACATTACCAAGCGTGCTCAATATTCTGGTGATGGGCGATTTTAACGTGGAGGACCCGGAGCTGGATAAAACGTCCAGGACGGGGTCGGCGGCGTAGAATCAGCGGTTGGAGCTGGATAAAACGTCCAGGACGGGGTCGGCGGCGTAGAATCAGCGGTTGCTAGACTGTTGGGCGTGCACACCTTTGAAAGACTCCTTTCGATTCCTGTACCCGGACAAACGCGAATACACCTTTTACTCGAAGGCGAAGAAAGCGAGCTCCAGAATCAACAGTGCACTGGTGTCGCAGCCCCTGCAGAGCAAGCTGGTAGACGTCTGGCACAGAGAGATTACAAACAAAATGACAGACCACTGGTACGCGGTGATGGTGTCGCTAGAGTCATCCACAGCGGTAGAAAGAGTTCTGGGGATCCGGAGATTAAGAGGAAATCGGGCGAAGAAATGGGGAGTCAGGAAGATAGTGAAGAAGGTGCTTGATGGTGCTGCAGGCGACCTCGGAGTGGCACTTCCGAGGCTGACGTCGTGCCTAAGAGCCTATGAGAGAGAAGAAATGAAACGGGCGGATGCGACAAAAAAACATTTATCAAGGGAGGTGGAGATTTTCCAGTACCGGCTGATGCTGAGCCCGAACTGCCGGCGCACGGCGGAGATCCTGCTGAAAAAGAAGAGCTGCTTTTAGCATATGAAAACAGACATTGAGAGAAGCTGCAGGTGTGGGCAGGGGTCAATGTAGAATTGAACGATGAAAAAACATCGGGCTTCCTGTCAGCTAAGATTAAAGTGCGGAAATCCAAGACGATGATTGAGGAGGTGGCCTTCAAAGGATCCAGCTATAAGGGGGAGAGGAAGGTGCTCTCAGCGGCGACGAAGTTCTTCAGAGATGCCTTCTGTGCCGACGATCCGCCGAAACAGTCGGAGGCACCACCAAAGGCCCTGCTGCCGGTGCTGGGATTTTTTCAAAGGCTTCAAAACCACAAGAAGTAATATTCTTAGTTTAAGTATCTTTATAGGCTACGAGGCCTTCTAGTTGCGGTCCAGTGCGGTTTAAAGCGGTGGAGCGTGGTTCAGTGCGGTAACAGGCGGTCCAATGGGCTTGAGTGCGGTATTGGGGCGGTTGAGAGGGGTCTAGAGCGGTTTTGGTAAATCAATAAAAATGGCTAGGGTGAACAACATGGAAAATGGAAATTGATAAGACTCCCCAACATCTAATTTACTCCTAATGAACCAGTTTTCTCTCTGCAATTCGATTTCTTATTGTTAAGATTGGGAGCTACTAGGGCTTAGGACTTAGGCTTAGGATGGCGTGAGAGAGTAGGCAAAAGAGGGTTTCGATATGGAAAGCATACAAGATATAGGAAAGGGGGAAAGGAGAGGGTACACTGTCAGAACTAGCAGTCAGAAGGAGAAATGAAGAAAGGAGGGTTTGCACTAGCAGCAGTTGACATACATATAGGAAACCCTAATTGGGTTGTACTCGCTATAAAGTACCCCACTGCAGGCTAGACAATAATAACATTATGACACACCCCCATAGTCAAAGTGGGGTATAATCAGCACAGCAAGCAGTCAGAGAGCAAGTCACAAAGGCAAGCAAAGCTAAAAGGCAGTCACAGAGGGCAAGTGAGGAGGAGTGACTGTGAGAGGAGAGTAGATTGGAGGCGACGGCTGAAGCTGCAGGCGCACGGGCAACAGAAGCGGCTGGCACAGTGGCTACCGGAGCAAGGGCCCCGGACTACTGGAGTAACAGACTCCGCGGCTACGACGAGCGGCAGGAGCTACGGACCCACGGGCGGCTGGCGCAGCAGGCTCGCTGGGCTACCGAGAGCAAGGGCTCCGGACTACTGGCGCTGCTGGCGACACGACGGCTACCTCCGCGCAACCTCCCCCAACAGTCCCACCCCCCTTTCACACACCCCTTGCTGTACCCCTAGCTCCACTCCCACGTTACCCCCCTAGCACCACTCCTTCGGCTCCCCACACACCCACCCCCCTGAGCGGCAGCTGCAGCAGCGGGAGACGGAGGAGGAGGAGGAGTAGGGGACGGCGCACACAACCGGCACCCCAACAACCGCCACCCCCACACTCCTCACCCCCAAACCCTAAAACGGGTGGCACGGGGTAGGAGCGCGGGGGACGGCGAGGGGGACGGTGCGCGGCCCCCAGGGCGCCACCACGGGGCAGCGAGGGGCCGCGCGCGGCTCCCCAGGGCGCCGCGACGGGGCAGCGGGGGGTCGCGCGCGGCTCCCCAGGGCGGCGCGACGGGGAATCGGGGGCCGCGCGCGGCTCCCCAGGGCGTCGCGACGTGACGACGCGAACGGGGGGGGGGACGCGCGGCCCCCGGGGCGCCTCGACGGGCGACGGGATGGGGGGGACGCGCGGCCCCCGCGACGCCACGACGGGCGACGGGAGAGGGCGCCACGACGGGCGACGGGATGGCGGGGGGGGGCGCGCGCGGATCCCCCAGGGCGCCGCGACGAGGCGACGGGATGGCGGGGGGGGGGGGGGGGGGGGGGGGCGCGCGGATCGACGGGGTAGAAAACCGCCGCGCGCCTCGGGGCGCACGGCGGGCAGAAAACCGCCGCGCGCCCCGAGCGCACGGCGGGATGAAAAACGCCGCGCGCTCCGGGCGCGCGGCAGGAAGAAAGGGTCACGCGCCAGGGGCGCGCGACAGCAGTAGAGCAGCGGAAGCATCGGGTGGGGCCCACCCACAGGATCGACCCAAGGGGGTCGACCTGCTCTGAAACCATGTCAGAACTAGCAGTCAGAAGGAGAAATGAAGAAAGGAGGGTTTGCACTAGCAGCAGTTGGCATACATATAGGAAACCCTAATTGGGTTGTACTCGCTATAGAGTACCCCACTGCAGGCTAGACAATAATAACATTCTGACATACACCACCAGCAGTTGGTTCTAATAACTAAACTAGTGTACTAACAAGTTGTAGGCAACTATAAGATATGCAATAAAATTAACACACCCCCGTAACTGCCTACGGCTATAGCTAGTGGTTTCTGGCACCATGTCGCCTGGAGAGCGGTTGCTGTAGCTGGGATATGCACAGAAACAGCGGTGGCTGACCGGTAGCACCTGTAAACGCCAGAACGGAGCAGGAGTAGGAGCAGTGATAAAACGGAGGGCGAAGGCTGCTGGTCGCTCGCCTGCTGCGAGCAAACACAACTGGTTGAGAGGAGGAGGAAGCTGGTGGTGCACAGGAGGGAGCGCAAAAGAGGCGGCTGGAGAAGAGGAGAGGAGAGGCGGCTGGAGGAGAGGAGAGAGGAGAGGAGAGGAGAGGCGGCGGCTGGCGCGGCAGAAGCTCTCCCGCCACCCCCTCACCCTCCTCCCCCCCCCCCCCCCCCACAGCGACAGGCGCTGCAGGGAGAGAGAGGAGAGAGTGAGAGGTGGAAGGAAGGGGGGCGGCTGCCTGCTCATACCCGCCACCCCAAAAATCTCTCCCCCTCCCTCCCACTGCGACAATCGCAGCAGGGAGAGGGAGGAGTAGGCGAGGCGACGGTGCAGTCGGCTCACGGCGGCCAAAACCCCCACGCCACCTCATTGGCATGCTGGTGCATTCGCTGGCCCGTACGCAGCTGGTTCCGCCGGCGCGCTGGCATGTCACTGACGCATTCGGTGGCGGATCCGCTTGCGCGCTGGCGGATCTCGCTAGCGCGACGATGGGTCGCTGGCGACCGTCGCTGGCGCTGGAGACCGTCCCTTGCGCTGGCGACCGTCGCTGGCACTGGTGACCGTCTCTGGCGCGCTCGAGCTGGCGCTGGCGACGATCGCTGACGGCAGGCGCTGGCGCTGGCGACCGCCTCTGGCGCGCTCACCACCGCTCGCTGGCACGCTAGCCACGGGCAGGGCGTGACGGATGGGCTACGGGCAGAGCGCGATGGAACCCCTGCGGGGCGCGACATGACTGACGCTAAGGGTGGGCCCATAAAAATGAGCGGTCCTAAACCGGGACCTGCTCTGAAACCATGTTAAAATTAGGAGCTACTAGGGCTTAGGACTTAGGCTTAGGATGGCGTGAGAGAATAGGCAAAAGAGGGTTTCAATATGGAAAGCATACAAGATATAGGAAAGGGGGAAATGAGAGGGTACACCACGAGCAGTTGGTTCTAATAACTAAACTAGTACACTAACAAGCTGTAGGCAGTTATAAGATATGCAATATAATTAACTCTTATGCGCATATCGAGCACCAAAAAAATAAAAACACCGCGAAAGTGCCTTGTGTTAAGATGCGTACATAGCTTAGGAAACATGTTTTGGAGGCATTCGAGCATGGCGAGAGGGAGGGAAGCGAGATTGGCCAAAAGAGGGCTTCACTACGGTAGAAGAGTTACAATCATACAACATGAGCGATCATTAAGTAGTGAGAATACGAACGGTAAAACGAAAAATGAACGAGCAACGCTATGGAATGCACTAAGCCATACGCATCTAAGCTAAGTTAACAAAAGAGGGTACACAATTTACTGTACAAGTAGTAAAGGGGTTTGTAATTGA